ACAGTTACAGTGTATATACAGTGTGGTCTCTTTCATACCTTAGTATCTGAAACAAACAATGAACATGGCAAAAGGATGACTGATAATACTACTATGGGGCTAATCCTATGAGAAATGTCTCATTTGACTTTGTGAAAAGTTGAGCCCTTTTCAATTAAATACTGTGCGAATGCAAATTGCTATATATGTACAAGGTCATTCCGTATATTTAAACAGCTTCTACAGAGTTCATCATTGAAGATAGAGAAAAACTTCGAGAGCAAAAGTTGTAGGGTTTGTTCTGAACCTCCAGAAAATTATACCAGATGAAACAAATGAATATCGCTGATATAAAAAATGTGTACCAACTTCGTTATTTTCAATGGAACACCCTATATATTTTTCGTAAAAATACAAGATCGCTTCTTCCTGATTCCAAAAATATATAGGTCATTGATATTTGGTTCAGCCGTTTTCGAGATATTCGAGGTTGAACATTTTAGATTTTACCAAATCGCAACTGCCATGAAAGAAAAAAAACTCACTTTTATAACTGAAGGAGATACAATTTCACAGATGTTCGATGTGACTACCGTTGTTTTGTATACATTTTATGTTGTCTTAATCCAATTTATTTATCGAATTGCAAATGAAGTTGGAGTGATGATTGTTCAATATGTTAATTCATTCCAAAATTCTTCCTCTCAAATCAGCCAAATTTCTACTTCTTTCCTTATACACTTCATTCTTCAAATAGCCCCATAGGAAGTTATCTAAAGGTGTTGAATCTGGACTGTTCGGCGGCCATTCCACTGTTCTAAATTTTCCGATCCACGTTTGATAACGATCATTCAAGTGATGCCGAACGGGCATAACTTGATGAGGTGGCTCCACTGCATTATTATTATTTTTATATAATAAACGAATCATTTCAAACTTTTCATCTTCACTGAAACCCATATTTCTTCCGAAATTCTATGCAATGAACATATGACAGCGTTTTATTGATGACAACTTGCGTATGTCTTGATTTTTCCTCATGGCAATTGCGATTCGATGGAATCAAATTAAAAGTAAATCTAAAATGTTCAACCTCGAATATCTCGAAATCGGCTGAACCAAATATCAATGACCAATATGTTTTTGGAATCAGGAAAAAAAGATCTTACATTTTTTCGAAAAATATATTGGGTGTTCTATTGAAAATAACGAAGTTGGTACCCATTTCTTATATCAGCGATATTCATTTGTTTCATCTGGTATAATTTTCTGGAGGTTCAGAACAAACCCTACAACTTCTGCATTCGAAGTTTTCCTCTATCTCCAATGATAAACCCTGTAGAAGCTGTTTAAATATACGGAATAACCCTGTACAGGTTCGCTGATATGTATGGAAACAGGTGAATATCTCGGTAACCTGTTGTTGAATTTTCTTGAATTTATGTACAGTGTGATTTCAAAACGTGGCGGATTTTAAAATGTTATAGCCAACGTTGCCACTTTTTCAATTATTCCGGATTTTTTATTAACTTCCCTATTTTGAATGAAACACCATGTACTTTATTGGATTTTCAGATTCTCCTTGAAGAGCCGATTGCATAGATCTATCACACTTGGGGTCTAGCGGAAACGATTACATGGGCATAGGGTGTTTAAAATATAGATTTTTCAAGTTTAAGATTTTTTTGTGTCGAAACTATTCATTATCGATCAAAACCGCTCCAATGTTTCAATCTTTATTTTTGATTTGCTATCTACCGAGATATTCACCTGTTTCCATACATATCAGCGACCCTGTATTTATTAAATAGGTAAGTACGTACGTATATACATTTTTAATATGACGTTTGTTTGAATTTTATTTGATTTACCAAAGAGGTTCAATTATTGTGAACAGTATATATTTCTAGAATAGTATATTGTTTAACGAGCACGGAATGATAGTGTTTTCCCACGAGAATGAAGTTTGCAGCATGTGCCGTAGGCTCAGAAATTGCAACATATTTTACTTCTGATTACGACACCCTGTATATCGAACATGAATTTAAGACAAACTTATAGTGATTTTCAATCATATTCACACTACATTTTCATATCCCTGCACTGAACTTAATGGGTATGTCGATATTCGAAATAAATTGTTTTCAATGTGTTTCACCCCGTATATTTGTGAACCCGCGTTGCGAGAATGATTTATAACCTAGTTGCTTGCCTTCCTGAATGGTTCGATTATTTTATTTCGCATTAAAATATATCGCAAGGACGACTGCCTTATAATCACTTATGCTTTCACTGTAATACTTGGGTTCTAACCATTTTTGATAAACAAATAAGATTAGAACGGATTGGATCAATTCGTTGCTATAAAGCCACACTATTTTTCAGGATTATTTCTAGAAAATAGTCGCGGAAGATATAATTTCGAGATTATTCTGTCGCTTCATTGTTCTTGAAATTGTATTGCCCAGCAACACCACAAGTCCGCCAGGACGACATTTGAGTTGACAATGAAAGACAGAATTATGAGAGGATATTCAGAACAGAGTGGTATTTTATAAGACTATTTCACGTTCAAAAAGCATAAAAAGCATTTATTATAAATGAGTGATTCATTCTGACAAGTACAGCCATAATTGTTTTATGCCAAACTGACAATTTTTGATTCGCTATCAATGGTTACATCTAGAGTTCCTAAATATACTTGACACTTCTGTTTTGACATATAATGTACAGGGTGTCCCACAACTCGCTGATGAATGACCAGAATAACACGATCATAATATGACCTTGGTAAAATATTGATAATTTTGGAAAAATCGGCACTTTTATGAATTTTGTGAAAATCGAAACCTTTGATCAGTGTTTCGAGTGCCGTTTGTACAAAGATTCATAATTCATAATAATTCATGAAATACCAAAAATCCTCCATTTATCCCTTGATTCTTTCGTCAAAATTTGGAATTCAATATGGCGGATCCATTATGACAGACGAGTTTTGTTTTTATGTATCGATTCAACTCAAAATTTATATTAAAGGTTTTTGGGGTCATAGATTGTGATTCTTTTGTTACAATTAGGAAAATCAAAATGGCGGATCTAATATGGCGGAAAAGTTTTGTAATTGTTATGATCTGATTCTATTCAAAATTGGTATCTGGGGGTTTTCGGAGTCGGAGATTCTGATTCTCACCTCAAAATTTGGAAATTCAAGATGGCGGATCCAATATGGTGGGGGAGTTTTGTAATTATGATCCGATTCTATTCAAAATTTGTATCTGGGGATTTTCTGAGTCGAAGATTCTGATTCTTTCGTCGAAATTTCGAAATTCAAGATGGCGGATCCAATATGACTGAATGATAGATTGTGATTCTTCCATCAAAATTCGGAATTTCATGATGGCGGATCTAATATGGCGGACAAGTTTTGTAATTATGATATGATTCTATTTTAAATTTGTATCTGGGAGGTTTTCGGCGTCGAAGATTATGAGTTTTTCTTAAAAAATGGGAAATTCAAGATAGCGGATCCAATATGGCGAAAGAGATGATAGCCAAACAACCAGAAAATAGATAGTATAGTAAAAAAAAATGAAGAGATAGATTACGAGTAGAAAATAAATAGTTTGAAAAACTGAAAAAACACGATTTTATGGATAGCCGGAATAAAAAGAAGTACAAAATAAATGAAATAGTTTGAAAAACTAAGGAAACACGCTTTCATGGATAGCCAAACTGAAAAGAAGTGGAAAATAAAATAATGAAGGTCTGTTGAGGAATATTTAACTAAAAAACTATTTTCTAGAAATAATGTTTATGGCAAAACAACGTTTGCCGGGTCAGCTAATATTATCTAATACTAATACAAAACACGTGTATATGATACGTCTGTCTCTACAATAAACTCTTTACCAAGAAAATTACTGGGATTGCCACTGCAATGAAAACAGTTCTTGGAAAATACGGAACTCAAATTTTTTGAATAATCAAAGAGATAAGGAGAAAATTACAGAACCCGTGCGACGCAGATAAGATACTCAAAAGTATTATTATTGGAATGGCAAAAATCCTAAAAATGTTTGAAACAAAAAATTCCGCTGTCATGAAGCTAACAGTCATTGTTTTTTTCTGTCAAATGGAGGTTTATAAATTTGCGAATGTGTTGATAAATTAGTAATAAATTAATAACTCATTGAGGACTCGATATAATTTCAAAAAACGTGATTTGAAATTTGGTTCTGCTAGGTTGAGATCGAGATAGACGAATAGGCGTTTTTTTTTCATCGAATGATGAGTAAAAAATTCGTGATTATAGTTATAAGTTGATAAAATAGTAATGAACTATGGTATAATATTTGAAGTTTTCATAAAAAATAATTTTCAGCTTTGGATCTATGCTTTGGTTCTGCTAGTTGACATAAAGCTAACAGAGCCGTTGTTTTTTTCCGTTGAATGAAGGGTAATAAATTCGCGAATATGGTAATAAATAAGTACTAAATTAGTAACAAATTATAACACTATTGGTTCTGCTAGGCCTATAAATTTCTTTACCATCGGAAAAATATTTCGAAGAGCATTCCAAAAATACCGTACTCTAAATTCATCTTTTGTATCTCTCAAAACATGCATGAGTTTTCAAATCCAACGAAGTTTGATCGATTTTGAATGATTTTCGAGAGTGCCTTGTCAATGATTACAATATTAGTTTTCAGTGGTCACCGCCAATACATGAGAATGACATTTCATTGGTGGCTAATTGGTGATGTAGCAAATATACCTGAATTTGCAATCATTGTCATGACGGCGTTTTACTCGAAAATCATTCAAAAATCATAGTGAAAACTTATCTTATGTGTCAAGAAGGATAAAAGAACCCCTGTAAGTCTGTTTTTTCCATTTATTTTCTACTGCCAAAAATAAAAGAGTTAGAGGGGGTGGTATTTGATAACGTGTCATCCGGTACAAAGAAATTTGATAAAAAACCCCGATCGATACTGCACGACTGATTTTTTTCTCGCTTCTAGAACCCTTCCTGCTCGACGACAAAATCCTGCCGACCATCTTGGACGATGTGCCACCACCACGTGCCATCCCAGTGCCCTCCCTCAAGGCCGAATACGCCCCTCAACAGGACACCCAGTACCTCCTCGGCGAATTCGACACCATATACCACGTGACCGACCTCAACCCCGGCACCCTGACACCCCCGCAGAGCCCTCCTAGCCACCAGCCCATGCTGACCACCCTGCAGCCGCTACTGACGTTCGACAAGCCGGAAACCTACCCCTACATGGTGGAGTTTAACTACCCCCCTGCACCGGCGGTCACCCCCCAGCCTGACATCGCTCATGAGCTCGCTGTGGTGGAGGAATTGGTGAGGACTAGGGTGGAGGATATGCAGTGGAGTACCAGTCCAGGGTCGCCAGAGAGCAGCAGCAGCAGCAGCAACTTTGATGATTCTTCTTCTGAGGACCCGGAGTGGGTGCCGGAGCCGGTTGACAACTTGAACGGTGAAGAATGCGCTCCGAGGAAGAGGTCTAAGGGTAGCAAAGGGAAGCCCGAGGAGAAGAAAGTTAGAAAGAAAGAGCAGAACAAGAATGCAGCTACCAGGTACAGGATGAAGAAGAAGGCTGAGGTGGAGGTGATTTTGCACGAGGAGAAAGAGATGTTGAGCGCCAATACGAAGCTTTCTGATAAGGTCACCGATTTGGAGAGGGAGATCAAGTACTTGAAGGGGTTGATGCGGGATCTGTTCAAGGCCAAAGGGCTCATCAATTGATTCATATATCCATATATTCGTAGGTGCTTTCGTTTTGATTGTTAAAGAGCGTTTTCTGGTGGAGTAGTCGCGTAAGGAAAGATTTTTTTACTTATTCTGTAGGTTAGGTTACAGTTGGAGATTGTATACTAGGATCTTCATTGTTGGTCCCAGTGTATGATTAGCAACTGATTTGTTTCTTTTCTTCTCTTTTTTCATTAAATCTTATATCCCTATCATGTAATTCTAACATATGCTTTATAATTGATTTACTAACTAATAAAGGTTGAGTTTAGATGGGATCTGTAGTATCATTGAGGCGAAGATAAAATGAAAGGTTCAATGATGATTTGTGGAACCTTATTTTGAAAAAGAAGGCAACAAACTTCGGAGAATAAAAGGGTACTTGACATATTTTTCTATGGCTACATCAGAAAACTGCTTTCCTAACTAAAATGCAAGAATTTGCCACAAAAAGGGTGCAGTGGAGCAGCAACAGCAGCAACTTGATTCTTCTTCTGAGGACCCGGAGTGGGTGTGCCGGTTCAGGAAGTAGACAACTTGAGCGGTGAAGAATGTTCTCCGAGGAAGAGGTCTAAGGGTAGCAAAGGGAAGCCCGAGGACAAGAAAGTGAGAAATAAAGAGCAGAACAAGAATGCAGCTACCAGGTACAAGATGAAGAAGAAGGCTGAGGTGGAGGTGATTTTGCACGAGGAGAGAGAGAGAGAGATGTTGAGCGCCAATACGAACACTACACATTGTTTTACCACTAACCAAGCCGATTTTTTACACTTCTCCTGAAGATGCTAACATAGTTATAGCGAAACACGTATTGAGATGTGTTAAATCGGTTTGGTTGTGGTAAAACAGCCAAAGGTTTCAGTCTTCGATATACGCCAATACGAAGCTCTCTGACAAGATCACCGATTTGAAGAGGGAGATCAAGTACTTGAAGGGGTTGATGCGGGTTCTGTTTAAGGCCAAAGGGCTCATCAATCGATTTCAATCAGTGCAAAGGCATGTGAAAACATTGTATTTTATCGAACCTATTATTTCGGAAAATAGTCCCGTCATGTGATACCGAGTTGAAACAAGGAGCAAATGTAAGGGTCCCTAATAACACAACGTCCTAGGGACGTCCCTATTTGGTACAATTCACGTCCGAATGTCCCGAATCAAAAATAAGTGTCCTTGGGACGTCCCATCCCGTACATCTCATGCAATTTCCGAGCAAGGACGTCCACGGAATGTCCCAGCTGGTACATCATTTCAAATGTCCTAGAAATAGCATCCCTTTAGACGTCACACGTGGTACATATTGTAGAATGTCCATGCAAGGACGTCCTTGGCATGTCCCTGATGGGATATGATTTTAAACGTTCCTTTAGGGACATCCATCGGATGTCCCGAGTAGTACATATTTTGGCATGACTTCCGATCTTATATAATGTCCCTTCTAGACAACCATGAAATGTCTCTGATGGTACATTCCTTCAAATATCTCTGCACAGACGCCCTTAATATTTCCAGGATCGTATAACAATCGAAATGTCCCTTTAGGGATATCCGTCGGATGTCCCAATTGGTACTATTCCAATGTCCTAGAAATAACGTCCTATGGACGTCCCAGTCGGTACTTTCAATATGTTGTCCCTCCGAGGACGTCAACTTACACCTCGCCGACATATGATTGCTCGTAGGCTATAAGTACTCCTCGTCAATGTCCTTCACGTAAGTCCATTGGACATCCTTGGGAAACTTTTTGGGGACCTTCTACGGACCATCAACTCAACTGGATGTCCTAATCAGTTATGCAAGATCTGGTCCTAGAGGGACCCAAAAAAATTCAAATTCAAGAATAATTCGTACGTCCCTGGGACATTCTACGGACACCCAAATGATATCCCTCAGCGTTGCTGATAGGTTGTTCTATGGATGTCCTAAGGATGTCCTCTGTAGTGCTTGATGAGGAATATCGTAGGATTCAGGTATTCGATAGTTGTCCCAGGGACGTCCCTAGTTGATCCTCAAGTGGGACATTTGTCCAATGGACGTCCACGGTACCAAATTCGAACGTCCTATGGACGTCCTGAATGTCCCGACAGAACGTCCTAAGGATATTCATGGGACATAAATGTGTTATTAGAGGTATGATGTCTCCTTTCAGTATATCCAAACGTGCCGCGATTCAAACTGATCTAAGTTAATGACAGCGTCAATATTTTCGAGAATATTTTGCTCCTCTGGAAAGATGATATCGGATGGACAATTAAATGTTTGAAATTTGTGTTTTTTGTTTTAAATTATATATTCATGGTCGTAGGAAAAATAGTTTACATAACTCGTTGAAATACACTTTGTATTTCATGCACTCGTTATACATTTCACATGTGCGAAATATGTCACTTTTCACACTAGTTATATGTGCGATATAGGTACTAAAGTACCCATAAATAAGTAACTAATAAAAAGGTTGATGAGTTTAGATGGGATTTGTTCCTTTATTGAATATTGAAGTTTCAAAACTTCCGTCAGTTCTGATTTCTGAATTACATGTCAAAATTTAGAAAAAAAAATTGTGTGGTCATTTTTAACTACTTTTGGAGGGGGTTCTAGCTATTTATTATTATTTCCCCACACGTTGGTAGTGGCAACATTGATCAAATACCTACCTAATGTTCAAGTGATTATAATAAACGAATTGTGATATCAAAACCAGTTTCTAGGATTCGCAGAGGGGGAATATATAAGTCTTGCATTTTACCACATCATCATTGAAAAATTTTCAGACCTGCCACTGGCTTCTGAAGAATTTTGAATAAATTAGTCAACATTCCATAAAACTTTGAGATTGGGTAGAAGGTTTCAAAACGGACAAGTCAATTAAATAAGAAGAAATTCAAGTTCATGAGTCATGATATTATGAAAATTAAATTCTGATTTTTACTAGTTCATGGTGGTTCTATGGAAGTGTATAGTCTACCGACCAGTCGGCAGACTACTTTTTCTCTTCTCTTGACATATAAGTACTGTGTCGTTTGCATTTGTTGACCATTTGATAGAATATATATCCTTCCTCCAACATTAATTTAGAAATTGACCTTCAAGAAAAAGCTCCTCTTGTGTACGTGTCCGCATAATCGCCGCTTTTGCTATGGTCACGCCCATCATATGTTATTGGATATAATTTTTAGATAACACGCTTTCTTGCAAAATTATCGGTAATTTTTATGCACTTGTGCAATTATAACCGATAATTATTTTATTCGTGAAATATTCCAATGAATTACAATAGTGCATAAAAATTACCAGATAATTTTGTTATCTTCAAGGTTATCTTTATACAAATTGCATATTCGGTTATTTTCATATTTTGGCGAAAGAGCCCGAATCCGAAGGAGTAGGACTCATTTATAAACTCTTACAATTTTTATAAATAACACGCTTTCTTGCAAAATTATCGGTAATTTTTATGCACTATTATTATTCATTGGAATATTCCACGAATAATTATAATTGCACAAGTGCATAAAAATAACCGATATGTGAACAAATATACGTCCTTCATACCTTCAAAATACAAAGAAATGTTGTTTTTGATCTGCTCGCTTCAAAAACTTTGAATATATTCACAAATTTTTGAAGCTCACGTATACACTATTTGAAATATCTTCAAGGTCGAACCGTAATTCTTGGGTTGGTAGCTTATATCACTGAACATTCAGGGGACAAAAATATAATGATAATCAGCCTGGGTTCCACTTGCCCCAAATTTACAACTTTACACTCAAGGTATGTCGTTCATGCTTGTATATACGAATTCCGCAAAATTTATGCGAATCGCAAAACATGAAATTCCCAACAGAATTCGACGTTCATACTCATTCAACAAAATTTGCAGGATATAAGGGTTCTGTTGTCATATTTAATTTCTTTATTTCTGGTCCCACCATTGATAGAAGTTTATCAAATTGAAGGCACATTACACGAGAGTAATGGGCTTGTACACCTTAGTAGAACTTTTAACTCAGACCATATTTATAATGATCCTTTTATACATAAATAATGATTGACGACATAATTCGATCGAAAAATTAACTGGAATGTTTTATTTTTGAACATTAATAATAGTATCTTCTGAAAACGGACCCTCTTATGACGTAGAAACCTCATCTCGCCATAGTTAAAAGAAAATACCAAACGCCCGACGGAGACTGAGGCAACTGATATATTATTTCTTTCGACTGTGAAATCATGCTAATTCACTCTGTCAGAAATCATGTATCATTCATCTCTGTCTGGAATAGTCTTGTTTCAGTATTAGGGTTTTGACGTCACATCATCGCCTCGCGTTTTCAGAGGTCCGAAAAATCGGGGATTTCAATAATTTTTTATAAGACGTAGGGAGCTCACAGCAAGAAACTGTTTGCGGTGGTGAGCTAGTTTGGGTAAGCTTTATCGAATTATGAAATTTTTTTTTTGTGTTAGTCCATTGGAATATTTATTAGGGTCATCCAGTCACATTTATCGAACGAGGCTATATAATGATCTCCATACATTTTTCGGCATTTAATGTTGCCTCGAACACTACAGCTACTTTTTTTGCGTCTTTAGATGATACAAATGATGTATTGAAATTGATTCATCCTGCGAAGAAAATTCAAACAAATGAAGAAATGAAATTTATACCTAATTATAATTCTGTACTTACCTCTAGTGTAGTCTATATAATTATATTCCATCCGAATTCGTAAAAAAGTTCAAATATTTCAACTTCATTGCGATTTTCGCTGTCGCCATTTCATTCGCATAAATCTTGCGGAATTCGAACAAGCATGAACATACCTTTTATCTTGGTGTACCTTACCAGAGATCAGTCACCCACTTGACTGATCTCTGACCTTACCAAAGAAGATTAACGTCGTGTATAGCGTTAATCTTCTTTGACCTTACTATATTTTACTCATTTCAGTCGATCGGTCGGTAGGTAGTCTATACACTTCTCTTTATTTTATATTATTTTATTAGGTACAGAAAAGGTGGTATACAGATTAGATTATCTTATTAGATTATTATTCTGTAATGTAATGACTGTGCAGATTATTCTATGATAAAATAGTGACTATATAACCTATAACAGGTATATCTGCCTCTAGAGTGTTCAGTTTTGTATCATAAGCACAGTCTGTTCTGTCTTCAATTCTACTAGCATTAAAAAGAATTGGAATCAAAATGTCTACCAAACACTTGACAATCGGTAAGATACGTACCTATATATTGCATTCAATATATTATTATACCTACCCCTTGGGTTCTGTTGTTACCTACTTCCTATTTATCACAAAACACGCCCATAAATTGTAGGTTCACAAGATCCACCAAGGAAAGATGGCTTACTGAGAATTTATTCAATGAAATTTTGTCCCTATGCTCAAAGACCTCTGTTGGTTTTGAAAGCAAAAAAAATACCCCATGAAGTTGTAAATATCAATTTGTTTAAGAAGCCTGAATGGTATTTCAAAATACACCCAGAAGGTGGGTACCTATACCTAAATCCTGGTTTGTTGAGTTTGTTCAAAAAGACCCATATGCTTCTGTGCCACAGGTAAAGTACCAGCTCTTGTTGATGGCTCCAAGGTAATTGTCGAAAGCTTAGACATCTGTGACTACCTAGACGAAAAATACCCAGAAAATCCATTGTACCCTGCTGAACCAGAGGCCAAGAACAGAGACAAGGAAGCAATCAAACTTGTGGCCCTTGTTACCAATGCTTTTGCCAAATGTGCCTACACGAATGAAACTGGAACCCCAGAGGGATGGGTCAAGCTGTTATTGCCCCCCTTGCAGGATTTGGAGGATGAGCTTGCCAAAAGAGGGACCAAGTTTTTTGGGGGAGACAAGCCTGGCATGGTAGATTTCTTCAAGGGCCATCACTTCTTGTTACTCAAATTGATTGTTTTTTTTTAGGTTGATTTTATGTTGTGGCCTTGGGCAGAACGTTCTGGGTGCATAGGTATCAGATTAGGCTACAAACTGCCTTTCAGAAATGAGGATCTCCTATTGCTGCGTCAGTGGAAGAAGGACATGAGCCAACAGCCTGTCTGTCAGGAACTGTTTATCAGTGGAGATATATTCGCCAAGATGATTTCTTACAAGATCAATGGGACCGAACCACCCTATGATGAATATTGAATAATCCACTTTTTCCAATTATTCAATTTGAATTCATGTGGTATACACTGTGATACTTATATACATTCTATGTACCTACAAATCATACCTATTCTGAGGAAGTTGAGAAAATAAACAAAAGACTCGATATTTTTTTTCAATCAACAATCTCTATAGTAATATTAGTAATAATCCATGAAAACATTCAACTAATATAAATAATACATACATGGACGTATAAACAAATAATATAATTGACTAGTCTAATTTGCTAACGGAGGAGCCGCCGAAATTACCCGAACGTACACCGAAAGACGGCAATGATGCCAAATGAGTCAATAATTCGTGGAATCAAGTCTACACGGAATTTCCTGAATAAAAACAGCACTGAAATCGAATATGAGGAAGGAAATATATTTTCTGTATAACCATTAAAAAGGAGACTACCTTTCCCAAACACCTAACCTAATATGTCGGCCTAAAATAACTTTCTTCCTAGAAAGTATATAGGTTTTTCGGAAATATTACTTGAGAAAACAAATTGGAAATTTTAAAATGAGACTGGTCATCCTAAACGAACTAACCTATTTGACTTCAAATATGTTCTGAGGAAGGATAACCAGAATGAAGTGAACCATCATTTCAAAAGCAGGACATCTTGCTAGGACTCAGAGCTCTGTGATGGGTCCTCCGCGTGGTGCAGAGGTGGCTGGTGTTGGTCAGGGAATGTGGGTGTCAGGTGTATTGATGTATTTGTAAGAAGTGTCGTCACAAAAATTCGGGGACTAATTTATAGATTTTGGCAATTCGAGAAGTTTCTCGGATTTAAACATCTCAAAACTCTGTACCACGCACTTGTTGAATCTATCATGCACTATATGGTATTATCGGTTGGGGAGGAGTCCTGAAGTGTCACCTAAAACCACTAGAAATCCTCCAAAAATGGTTCATCAAAATTATTTTACGCAAACCGAAAACTTACCCAAGTGAAATGCTCTATTCCGAATCCAAATTGTTAGATATGAGGCAACTATTCTTCAAGACCATAATTCAATTTGTATCTGGTAATAAAGCATACGTCACTGCGATAAACCACAATTATCCCACCAGAAATAATACAAAAACCACTAAGTTCCTACCAAGAGCGCAAAAGTCGATTGGTCAAAGGTGTTTTTCTTACCTTGCCCCCCGATTGCTCAATATCATACCGGATGAACTGAAAAGACTAAATTCGAAAATACTATTCAAAAAGAAATTGAAAATATGGATCCTCGGCGCTGACAAAGCTATATTTATGAATATAATGGATCGATGATCTCATTTACGCCCTATTTGTAGTCAATTCCACCTGCACATTAATATTTATTACAAATTTGTTCAATTATTATCTATATATATTATACTTTTACTTCATTGTTACCAATTATATTTTATTTTATTGTATTGTATCCTATTGCATTGTAACCTATTGCATTGTATCTTATTGTATTGTATCTTATTGTATTGTATGCTATTCATATTGCTTGTTTCTTATATATATTATGTCACCAAATCTTATGAAATTTTCAATACATTTGAACGAACAAAGAAGAAGCGATACTCATAGACAAGTTCTTAAGTGAACTTAAATGAGTTCCTCACTTTATTCACTTCTTTTGTATATATATATGTATATATTTTGAAATGGTATGTATGGAAATGGTGAATAAAGACATTATTATTATTATATTATTATTATTATTATTATTTGTGAAGTGTTAGTCTCAGAGGCCTATCTCCTGGGGCCAAGCCCCTTATATACATATAGATGATCTCACTGAGGTTACCCAAGAGCGAGACCAAGAGGGTGGGGAAGACGATCAGTCGCTATCAGTGATGGGTGGTTTGTAGACGGATTACACCGTATATGAATTCACATAGGCGAGAATGACAACGAGAGCGCTTCAAGCTTTGTTTGTTGCTGGGCGATCTTGGCTTTGGTGATGCTGGCGATGAAACGTGTGTTGCTATTATTGGTCGATGGTTGGCTACCCCATTCGAATTGACCAATAATAATTAATAACATCACCAGTTTCATCGCTAGCATCGCCACAACCAAAATCGCCTAGCAATAAACTAAGCTTCACTGCTTCAGTCGAATTCGTGTGGAAATCGGATCACGCATCAGGCACGACCAAAAGAAATATTCCTTCTGCATAAGAAAGACGGAAGGAGGCCGCTTCGGAGGTCAAAAGTCAAAACATAAAAGACATCGAGATTAAAAGTACCACTAACAATAATCAACAATAACAAACGTGCATCACTTGGCATCACTGCTGTCGTTCGGTTTACTTTCGGTGGCTCCTCCGTTAGCAAATTAGACTATATTATATAATTGCTGATGAAGTGATGAAGAAAGAGAAGAAGTTGAAGGAAAGTTTCAAAGATACATTTATGGGCAACTCATATGAACATAGGCGCCAGAATTCCCGATTAATGATAATATAGTAATCTATCCAGTTTTTCTTTCAGGTAGATCTTCATGGTCGTGGTTATAGACCTCTTTGGACAGAGTATCATCTAATAGCATATTGCCATCAATTCAAGGGTTCCAGAAGGTCACAAGGATCAATTTTGGCAACCAAAATTGTTATTCCTACTTCAGTAGGTACTTCTGGGTACTTCATATCAATAATCTATCGGGAGGGGCAGGAGGGGAGTAACCCTATATACTTGCCCCAAGCCCCATTCACAGATAGTTCAATATAGACAAGAAATAAAATGTACCTATTCAAACTTACCTATATACTTATGAGAAGATATATAGTTTCTAGAAATTCTGGTGCTATCCTCTCCACAAACATTACATTGTTGTATGAAAGCAAAAAGTATGAATACAAACATAAACAAATCATACTGCTCAAAGTCAACCGCTAAAAAACTGCGGCCTCAGCACTCGGACTATTGGTCGCGTGCAAGAACTGTCAGATGACCGACCCTGGAGGCAAAACATATTTGTTTACAAGTGATGGAAATAGTTTTCCACAATTATTTTGGCATAATTATGAATCGTATTTTTCCGCAATTCATCAATTCGCTAATGCCATCACATTGTGCTGTTGTAAAATGCACAAAAACTGCAGTGGAAGATGAAGAAATCCAGATGGTACATTATGATTCAAAAGTAAGTACCTACTATAGTCACTCACATAGTTTTCATTTTTGAAATTTGGTTATTTCTCTGATTTCTCATCGGAATTCCTTCTGCAATAGGATCAGCTAATAGAAATATACCTGAAATTTCTAGAATAATGCAAGAAGATTGGATTCATGCAATCAATCGGTAGGACTGGTCTGACATGCTGACGATCGTGTGTGTTGTAGACATTTTCAATCTATTAGCAGCATTAGCTTGTATTGCAGAAGTAGCAGAAGGCATAAAGAATTTCAATAAGGAATGACAACATTTCATAATGCTAACTATGTGAGATTTCTATTTACCTGAAAAATCATATTCCCTAATCTCTTGCTGCATTTTTTGTGCATTGTACAATAGCACAATGCGAAGGCATGCTTGAATTAATGAATAACGCAAGAAACACGATTCGTATGCCGAAATATTGTGAAAAACTATTTCAACCTTTTGATTCCTCTGTAACCAACTCAGACCAAATAAAAAAGTGAGGTTGTGTTTCAATAATTCACAGAAGAATGAGGTTGTGTTTCAATATTTTGCCTCCAGGGTCGGTCTTCGTGCACGCGACCTATTGGTCGAAATAATTCTTCTTCAAATTTCATTCGATGGCCTGCCACTGGCCTGGCACAGAAAATAGAAGAAGAATAATAAGTAGAAGACTTGAAGAAACTGGGTAAGTGACATTGCAGTTAGCAGAGACGAAGACGAAGAATAAAAAACAAAAAACAGAATAGTATTTTATTAGGTTATATTAAGGAAATTGAAAATCCTACAAATCCTATGAAAAAAATACCCAATCAAATTGATCTGGTATCTGGTTTTGTGGTTTGGGTTGGGTTTTCATTCCACACGAAGAACTGATAATTAGATAGTGATTGTGCTATGATGAAATATATGTAATGAACCAGTTCTATAACGAAAGTTTCCTATAATCACTGTCTTCTCCTGAGTTGTCTCTGATTTCAGCAGAAATGTCTACAAAGCACTTGACAATAGGTAAGAAGCGATTTTATCCTATGCTTAACTATCATAAATCAATTGAACATCTATTGCAGGTTCAGAAGACCCACCCAGAAAGGATGGCTTACTGAGAATTTATGCAATGAAATTTTGTCCTTATGCTCAAAGAGCTCTGTTGGTTTTGAAAGCAAAGCAAATACCCCATGAAGTTGTTTATATCAGTTTGTTCCAGAAGCCAGAATGGTATCATAAGATACATCCAGAAGGTTGGTTAAACTTTTTGTTTATTCAAATGAGGAATGAAAACTAAATGATCTTGTGCCACAGGTAAAGTACCAGCCCTTGTTGATGGCTCCAATGTAATTGTCGAAAGCACAGATATCTGTGACTACTTGGATGAAAAGTACCCAGAAAATCCATTGTACCCTGCTGAACCAGAGGCCAAGAACAGAGACAAGGAAGTAATCAAACTTGTGGCCCCTGTTACAAATGCTTTTGCCAGGTGTGCCTTCACTGATGAAATCAGGTCTCCTGAGGCATGGCTCAAGCTGTTTTTGTCCCCCTTGCAGGATTTGGAGGATGAGCTTGCTAACAGAGGAACCAAGTTTTTTGGGGGAGACAAACCTGGCATGGTAGATTTCCTCAAGGGCCATCACTTTTTGAAACTCAAATTGATTATTTTTTCAGATTGATTTTATGTTGTGGCCTTGGGCAGAACGTTCTGGTTGTATAGGAATCAGATTGGGCTACAAATTGCCCTTCAAAGATGAGGATATTCCATTGATACGGCAGTGGAAGAAGGACATGGGCCAACAGCCTGTCTGTCAGGAACTGCTTGTTAATGGGGAGAGATTTTGGAAGATTGCTTCTTGTAAGCTCACTGGGATTGAACCACCCTATGATGAAGTTTAAATAATACTTATGGACCCTGAATAATCCAGGATATATTATATCATCAGATGATTAATTTACTCTTCTACATGCTCTTCCACTCTTTGTTCAAATTTAGTCTTAATTTTTTATTTTTAAACTTATGTGCAATAAACTGTGATGCTTATACATTCTGTGTATGATATCATTTCCAAATAAATGTTGATTAATTCAATGCAATGATTATTGAACATTTTTTCTGGAAGCAAAAATCTAGAAATTCATGAAAAGAAAGAGGGAATTTATATTGATCTATGCTCCTTCAGAATCCATTTAATTTTCATCATGAAATTCAATCACCCTAGACTAGAGATTATGAATTTTTCTTCAGTATCTTCTTAAATATTTATTAGAAAAACACAATAATAACACAGTATGGACCCTTTACCTGTGCCCTTTATGCTGGGTTTATAGATTCAACTAAACTAAGAATTAAACTAACAACTATGAAATTGAAAAGTTGAATACAAGGAAACATCTATGAGGGTTTATACATTTACATCTGTCATTTAAATCAATAATAATTAAGAATTTTAAAGTTGGCCAACTTTCAACTTAACAACTATAAGAATTATGAAATTCTGGAGACAGAACATGAATATTGGATTTCTTATTGTTCAAGTGGAGTTTGGTGATAGTTAATTGGGATATTTTTCATGGATTCATGAATTGTAGAGACCAAAATCACTTTTTAACATCATTTTGATCTTCAATCCAAAGACATTCCACATTTAATTCCTAATTAATATTAGATATATATAAACACCCTCAATTCTTATATAAACCCAGCATTATGGTGAAAATAATGATATTTAGCAGTTTGCCAGTTTGGTTCATGTTTCTTTGATTAACACACAGCTTTCTTCACATTTACATTCAACTACTTTGAAAATTGTCCCATAGATGGCGTAACAGATAGAAACTTGGAAACCCAGAACATTTTAGATCATTTTTTGCGATGGACCCTGAAAATGGTCAAATATGAGATTTAATAATGAAATATGGAATATTTACACGAAATACAAATGTCTTCATTGATTTGATTAATAGGTACATATTTCTCTTCATTAAACCATTAGGATAAATATTTTTTATTTTGTACCTATATGTATAGGTATGTACCTGTTTTATACATTCAAGGTGTTTTTGAAATAAGTACATATAATCAGCATATCGATATGATACAGTCTAACGAATATTCCCATAATATCAGATTTTTCCTAATTTTAATAATTAACAAGAAATTTCATCCCGAAAATTGAACAGAAAACGAAAAAAATTAATAAAAATGTAGCCACTTTGAAACAATTTAAATGATTAAAATCAGCGTGATTGTGCCTTACGAACGAAAATTTGATCAGAGATGACGTCAGAATTGCTACAGTGTGAAACTTTTGGTGGAAAAAGGGGTCTAACCTCAAATTTTATTTTGATCCCTATATTTTTTTATTAGTACCACTCGATAGTATACGTCGAGCTTACTCATGGCTTGAAATATTTGCACTTATTTCAATGCCACCCTGTATAGGTAGGTATAAATAAGTTATACAGTGGGTCCAAGATATAAAATTTCATTCAATTTGTTTCACTCATTTTTGAATAGCGTAAAAAAATGTGTTTTTCGCTATGTAAACTTTGAACTCGTCTGACGGACAAACGTTACTACATTTTCTTATATAAATAAATTGGTTTGTTGGTTGATCAGTTTTAATCTTCTCCTGAAGATGCTAACATAGTTAACGAAACACGTGTCGAGGCGTTAAAAAATCGGTTTGTTTAGTGGTAAAACAGTGTAGTGTAAATTGGGGCCAATCAACTTATTTCGACCTGTGAATTACACGTGGTAGTTTTGTGTCCCAGCAAAGAAGAAATACTACTGGGTAAGACCACCACCATCAGGCCTAAGTACGTGTTTAGTGGGTATACCCTGGCTAGAGTCGGGTACTCCCACATAAAGGATTTGAACCACCTCGAAAAAAAATGTCAGGGGGTGAGGGTGGTTTCAATCCTTCTACAAATTCTTTCACGTTTCTTTGATTAGGTACTGAAAAAAGGATTCTCCTTTAAAATGCACTTTTGTCAAATTTCATCCAATTCGTTTCACTCATTTTTGAAGAGCGCACAAAAATATGTTTTTTTTTATGTTAACCTTCAACGGTAATTTCTTTTATAAATAAGAATTGGGTCCAATCAACTTATATTGAAGTGTATTACACGTGTTTATAGCTCTGTGTCCCAGCAATTTTGTGACACCCTGTATATTTAATGCAATAATTTATATGTCGGAAAAAAGAGAAATTAAGTATGACAGCAAAAATCCTGTATATCTCATCAAAAGAAAATGAAGATATTTCAAGCTAGGAAACATAATAATTAGCCTGCCAAACTTTATTCAGCAGCGGCTTCTACGATCAAAAATAGGAAGAAAAATTCTAGTGAACATGAGTCCATAAATGTCTCTCCTAAGGAATAATAAGCCTATGATAATAAAATGATGAAATTCGGTGCATGTCCAATATTTATTCAGAGTGTATACTACAAATGAAGTTAACTTTTAGTGGTTCACCCTGTATCTGCCATTATTAGACGATCAGACCGTGGTGATCAGACCTCAAAATGTTTCGCCCAAGGACTTCCATACCTTCCTCCAAATTCCTCCTCACCCCGTATACAGTAGACGCCCCGTTTTGGCGCGCTTGCTTTGACGACGTCGGTTCGGCTACGGTCGGCCGTTTCCGGTGCATGTCTCCCCACGCATAATTAAACCGTCTTTCTGAATTTCCATTGAAAGTATGAAAAGACAACTAGTCGCTACCAAATAGTTTATGAATTTATTCGATTATTTCGTATTGTAGTGGATTGTCGAGTCTTAGAAGTGAACCGAAATCGAATGATTTGTGAAAGAATGATGGCGGCATTTGCCGCAGTATGTCTCCCGCATTTTGCGGAATCGGCGTTCGGCGGCGAGGTTGCCAAGCTTCTACTTTATCTTTGATCTCAAGATAATTTCTAGATCTTTTTTAGTTGGAAGAGTTTTTCAATATTCGGGACTCGAGAGTAAACATATATCAATATTAATCTGAGATGAACTTGAGATTTGGGATTAGTGCCTCAAATATCTCATATTGCAAAAATTCTAAGAATCATTGTCAATGTTTATTTCAGTTGCCCAAAGACGAGGTGACATTTCAAATGTTCGTTGAAGCTTCAAATTCCAATATTCAGTTCATGGAAATACATTCATTGAACTAATATTGATATAACTAGGTTACACAATGAGCATTATGTGCATTATGTCTACACCCGTGCAATGAAGGAGTACAGACAAATGATATTCCATCTCTAATGAAACATATTTTTGTCTAATGTTTTTTGTTCAGTTGTTTAACAACATGACGAGTGTGTCCACACTCTTCAAAGAGTGTGAAAAGAGATGTTGACACCGCCATCTGATAGCCAAATCACTATATTTCAGTATAAACAGAAGTCCATAGCAATAAAGCAACAGATAGTCAGCTAATATGCTCGTTCGAAAATACGTTCACATGGAAAAATCGCGGAATGTCCACTTCGAAAATGTGAAGAAAGGGGAACGTCCAAGCTTAGTGCTTGCTTGAATTTAACAGGTTGTTTTCACACTATCAAAAGGTCAAAGGGAACTCTCAGGTAAACAAATAAAGATGATAAAAAAAGAGATACCACCACCTGTTCATCATCTGTTGCAGCGTACGAAAGGGAATCCCTATAATGTTCGGGGAACATCGTGGATACCTAGGGAGGATAGGGAAAGGAGGTATAGGTATTGAGATTTTTCTCAACTTTTGGGGATTATAAGTTCTAGGGAATACTCTGTTTGGCAAAAAATCCCAAAGCCTCGCCCAATGCTTTGCCGTTACATAGAACGGTTTTGGTAAAGAGTTGTTCGATATATTTCGAGGTTGACGACATAAACGTGTGCTGACTGGGTTTTGTCGAGTACGTCTGAGTGATGGGAATAATATAATGAGATCGCTATATGATGATTCCTACTCATATCTCGTGGAATTTATAGAAAATAATCAAATTATAGATATGCTAGCTGTACTATATGACAACTTACCGCTCATTAGGTAGTCAGGCAAGGATGGAGACATGGACCATAGCAGATAACTGCGAGTAAACACTCTAGTTTTTTGACAATTTATCTGGACTTCCCCATTTTTCATCCGAATCTTTGGACTTATTTTTTGTTTTCGATGATTTTTTCATTCAAATATCATTTTTATTTCTAGTTGTTCAACTTTTTTGCTCATTATACTTCATCAAATGAGTCCAGGTGGTTTAAAAGCAAGGAGGCGCATTTCTCGAAACATACTTTTTGTAATAATATCCCCTTTTCCCCCTGTGGTATTCATATTATATCAAAGTATTCATGCACTAGCGGGCGGTAAAGTGCACTTCACCGCCCGCGGATCCATTATGGCCCGAGGGCAATTCTTCAAGACTACATGAGAAATTTGATCAACTCGATGCCAAGGCGGTTGAATGCTGTAATTCAAACTCGAGGAGTGCATACTCGTTATTGACTACGGGTCTGCTGTTTGTTTATTATTCATTGTAATTAAGGTTTTTTCCGGTTAGTGTTGATAAAATGAATTAGAAATAAGTGATATTGATATTTTGAGTTCATGTAGGTTCTGATTATTGTTCATTCGTATCTTTTCTTAAAACTAAGATATTGACGTGAATCAAAACTATTGTGTTAAGAAGAGATCACACTTCAATCTAAAGCATAATTAAGCTATGTTCAACCACTCAATTTCGCCACAGGGCATTAAGAAGTAAAGGATGAAAGAGTAACTTTCGTTTTTCCCTGTATAATAATCAAGTCATCAGCTTTTCATGGAAACTAATATCTAGGCTAACATTCCGGAACATGAATTTACGAATTGATCGAAATTTCACAAAAATCGGAAAAGTATTAAAATAGTTACGGGGTGAACCATATGGGCATAATTATTCATCCTCAAAGAGGGCTGTGAAAAATAATTAGTTTTTTTCCTGAACAAAATTACTTTCGTTTTTAAAGTTCGTACTAAGATATAAGTATAAGGGCAACAAGCAAACTACTTTATTGCTATGCCAAGCTTATTTGTTCCAGCCTTGAAGAAGAAAATAAACATTTTCGAAAGCTTGGCATAG